CCACTGACCCTGCCCTCACCTGCCACAGTCCACTCACGGGACAGGTGAGCACGTGGGGCCCCAGCCACGAGTATCACCCAGAATCTTCCCTTTCCTGGGTAGTGGGAGTGGGTAGCTGAGAAGCCGCCACCTTCCTCCATGGGACAGGGACTGGGCATTCCCACATAGGCTGGTCCGGGCCAGGGATGTCCTTGGCTCTGTCCAGCCTGGAGGTGTAGGGTGGGGCACCTCTGGAGGTCACTGGATCCTCAACTTTGAACTGAGGTTTTTTTGGGGTCTGAAGCTCTAAGAGCTGGGATGGGGTGTAGGGTCTCCCCGTGAGGATGGTCTCCCAGCGTGGGGAGGGACTGCTTCCGGAACCCCCCCCCCCGCACTGTCCCAAGCTTACACACACAGCACCCACTGGCCCCGTCACCTGGGTCCGTGGCTGGAGGCGGCCTTGCTCTTGGGTGACGCGCTGCTGGGCTCCGGGGCCGGGGCTGAGGCCGCCCGCCGGCCAGGGCGCTTCTGGTTGCGGTGGAGCAGCTGGCACTGGGCGCCCCGGGGGCAGACGCCCCTGCGAGAGAAGTCGGGGCACAGCAGCGTGTGCTTCTTCTTGCACTGCGGGGGGGAAGAGGGCAGCCGGGTGAGCAGGTCAAGGCCTCTGCACCAGGCGGGGCGGCCCTGCCTGCTCAGTCCCCCAGGGCCAGAGACTTCCTGTTGGAAGGCTGAAACCCCCAGGCCAGAGCAGCCTGCGCCCCCACCCACCCGTGCCCCCTGGGTGAGCAGAAGGGCCCTGGGCTGGACTGACGGCAGGGACCGGGCTGGCCCAGGGGTCTCCTAGGCTGGTGTAGGAATTCTCAGGCCACTAATCCCCTCTCTGGACCGCAGCACCCCATCCTGGCTGAAGATGGAGACGTGGGGGGAGGCTCAATGCGTGGAGGACCTTATGCATGGCGTTTAGGCTCCAAGCCCAGGGGTGCCCAGGTCGGCCGAGGCCAGCCGCACACCCGATCCACCCCACCTGTCACGGCGGCTAATTATACCCGGCTTGGGACGCGCCATCCAGCAGGTGCTCCGTGCAGCACGGGGCCTCAGCTCCGCCCACCAGGCCCACAGGGAGCCAGGAAGCCCCTGCCCATGGCCAGTCTTAGGGGGCACAATGGGTGTGTGTGTGTGTGTGGAATGTAGCAAGTGTCCCTCGTGTTGGACCAGCCACCGGGAGAGACACTGTCCTGACAGGACCCACTGTAGGGGCCCCGCCAATCCGCCCAGAGCCGAGTTTCAAGCAGCCAGGCCGCAGTGCTCACACCCAGTCCGGGAGGCTGTGTGCTGGCTGAACCACTTGGAAATATGTGGCAACAGCTCTGAAACCTGCCTCTTGGAAGCCCGTCCCCGGAGCCCTGGACCTGGGCCCTACTCCCAGCACCCAGGACAAAGAGCCTGGCTGAGGACCCCGCGGAGTGCGTGCCCGTTCTCTGAGCACAATCTGGGCACTGGCCCCATTCAGGCCCCATACCTGCCCCTTGGCTGCCACCAATGGACTGGAAGCCCCTCACACTCATGCCAGGGGGCCGGAGCTGGTGGGGCCATCTGGGCAGCAGGACCCCCAAACGCACACTTGCACCCCCCTCCCAGCTAGCCCCCCCTGCCCCCGAGAGAAGGCTGATGTGTGCTCGCTTGCTTTCAGGACACGGGGTCCCGAAACGCAGGGGCCCCGCCGCCGTGGGTTCCACTCTAAGACCAGGAGAGTACAGGGCACTGGTGTACCAGGGCAAGGGCGGGTGGCGGGCCCTTCTGCAGGGGAGTGGTGGGTGGAGAGAGCCTGGCACTGGACAAGAGATGACCCGGATGCCGAGTGCATATCGGGGGGCGGCTGGCTGGGCCCATGCTGTCCCATGTGTAGACCACGAGCCACGGCGGTGCTGCGGGCTCGGCAGACAAGGACGAACGTAAAAGGCCACACCGATGTCTCCTCCGTGACTGTGCGGTGAAAGGTGTGACGGGTCGGGTTAATACAATTCATTTCACCTGCTCTGCGTTTACTCTTCTAAGGCGGCCACAAGGAAACTCAGAATCTCACGTGTGGCTCACATCTGGCCTACTGGATGGTGCTGGTCTGAGCTGGCCCCCTCCCTGGGACAGCCACACGTCGAGGGTCGAAGGTACAGAATGTTCCCAAACCATCCACAGGCCGTCAAGAAAGGAAAATGATGGACAAAAAGCGACTCAGAAACACACTGGACACAAACGGAGCCTCCAATTTCAAAGGCAGGACGTCTTCGTCCAGACGAAGCCCACAGGTGTGGGAGCAAAGCCAAACAACCACGCAGGGGCCCCAGAAAACCCCCCAAAGGCCTGGAAATGAAGAAACACGCTACTAAATTCTCCACGGGTCAAACAAGGAATCACGGAAATGAGGTAACGGTGAGAACTGGGCGCCAGTACTGAGCCACGCGTCAGGAGCAGCTCCCGCGCCGGGAGACAGGTCGCAGCCTGCAGGCTTCTGTCGGCAGAGAGGCTCCTGCTCGACACGGGGGGACAGCAGAATGGCCCAAACCCAGCAGAGGGAAGGAAACAGAAGGTAAAAACAGAAAGGAAAGAAATACCAAAAGAGGGGCAAACCCAGGAGAGCCGAGAGTTGGTTCTCTGAAGAAATGAATCAATTTGTCCAACAAGACGGACTGGGAGACGAAGAGGCCAGCACAGAACACGACGAAGGACAAACGGGCCGTAGCTGGTGACCGTGCTGAACAACAAAACGCTACCAATACAACATCAAGAAGAAGCTTTACACGAATGAACTTGAAAACACAGATGAAACTGACAAATTCCAGAAAAAGTGTCAAGAAAAAAATAAAACCTGGACAAATACTCCTATGGCCATAAAGGCATGTGAACCAGTAGTTAAAAAATAAAGCAAGTTCCAGCCCAGGGTTTTCCTGGAAGTTCTACCAATATTCAGTGTACTACCCAACCCTGCAGGAACTGGTCCACAGAACAGGGATGAGAGGACACTCCTCAACCCGGTGACAGGGCTGGGGCACTCCTAAAAACAAAACCTGACCGGATAAGATCACAGAGGCCATTTGCACTCATGCCTGAGGGTTCAAAGGTCACACACACATTATAAACAAATGGGAGTCCTGCCGACTAACAGACCAGGACTAAGACGAGTGTGCCTCAAGGATGCAAGGTTAGTTTAACATTAGAAAATCAACAAGCAGAATTTTGCACATTAACAGACTCCACACATGGGATCATCTGATCACCTCAACAGCTACAAGAAGTATTTAATAAATCCAGCATGAATTCAAAGTTTAACAGATTACTGATTGGATGGTACTTTCTTAGCTTAATATAAAGGGTTTCTGAGAAGAATGTTCCAAAAGCATCACTTGTCACAGGGAAAGGGTGGAAGCCCACTCCCATCACTGGTACATTGTGCTGGGGTCATAGCCAGAGTAGAGACAAGAAAAAGAAAGAAAAGACGTTTGAACTCAAAGGCGGGAAGAAATGGCCATTATTTGCAGAAGATACATTTCTTTAGGAAAACCCAAAAGAATCTATGGATAAATTACAACAATCACTAATACAGTTCAGCAACGTTCCTGGAAACAAAATGAATATAAAGAATTCCACGTCTAGATACCCATGAACGTTCAGAAGATAAGAATTTTTAATTTGTTATTTATAAAAATAATAAAAGTGACAAATAAATCTAACAAAGGTACAGAAGAACTTCAGTAAAAGGCAGCACACGAGTGGCCTACATAAGAGCCAGATGCCCGGCTCACTCACAGGCGGGCAGACAAGGGCCAATTCCCACCAAACCGAGACAGAGATTCAGGACAATCTCCATAAAAATTCCAACTTTTTATTTTATTTTTTTAACCCACATTGGATCTACAATATATTTCTGGAAGGATAAAGAGCAAGGAGAGTGAAAACAGCTGTGGAGAAGAACAAGGTGAAAGAATCTATGACCAGGAATTACCGCGAAGTTCAAGTGATCCCGGAGCACCAGCCGGCTCAAGGGTACATAAGGAACAGGGCAGGGAGCCCACCTCGCGGCGCTGCTTGCAGACCCCGGGGACAGGGACAGACGGCCCTGGGCCCGACCCTACAGCACAGCTGTCCCGGGCGGGACTAAAGGGGCCGGGCCCACATGTGAAAGGCCGGCCTAGGGGCTCGGGGAAGGAGGAGGATTTCTCCCGCAAGACACAGATGTGCAAACCTTCACCACCGATAAAGTCGTTTCCATTAAAATTAAGAACTTTTGTTCTTCAAAATAACACCACAAAAAAGGAAAAAAATTAATTACAAAGAAGATAATTGCCATTTATATGACTGACGAAAGATTAACGTCCAGAATGTTTCATATTTATGTATTTTTATGTTCATATTTAGATTTTATAAATTTCCTGTGAATCCACAAGAGGAAACCAACCCAGAGGAAAAACGTCCCCACCCTCACTTAACAAAAAAAACAGGGGGCGCCTGGGTGGCTCAGTCGGTTGAGCGTCTGACTTCGGCTCAGGTCACGATCTCGCCGTCTGTGAGTTCGAGCCCCGCATCGGGCTCTGTGCTGACAGCTCAGAGCCTGGAGCCTGCTTCGGATTCTGTGTCTCCTTCTCTCTCTGCCCCTCCCGTTTGTGCTCTCTCTCCCTCTCTCTCTCAAAAAATAAAATAGACATTTAAAGAGAAATTAAAAATTTAAAAAACCCCAACAAAACCCCACCTAGTTTTCAGAAAGGGAGGCAGAAAAGGTTCAAACACAGGGAAGGCATTTTGCCTCATCAAATCCAGTAAAGGCAAATTAAAAAATGCAATGAGGTAACCTTTTGTCCTTCAAATGGTCAAAAAGAAAAACAGAGGTTGAACGTCACCAAGTGCAGGCAAGAAAACTGGTCTACGAGTGTGAACGGGCAGAAGTCGCCGGGAAGCCATCTCAGTTGTCCACCACAGCAGACCAGTGCCCTCCAGACCCGGGCCGGGGCCTTGCCAGTGACGCGCTACAGCCCCGATCCCCGCGGGCCGGAGGCGGAGCCTGCGTCACGCCAGCCTGCCTTCGGTGAAGCACATTCCATTTCACAGGGGTGAGGCCATGAGAGGCCAGGACCGACCGCACTGCCCACCCGTGCTTGCCCCCACAGTCACCGAGGGGCTCCCAGGGTCCCTGCTCCCTTCCCAGGCCCCGGCCCCACCGGCTGCCTGCTCCAGGCCAGACAGGACCGCAGAAGAGCTGGTGCGGGAGGGACAGGACTCGGGTGGGCTGTCTTGGCCCAAATCTGCCACCTAGCTCGTCCACGGCAGCCACCAGCCTTCCCACCCCTCCTGGGTCGTGCCAGCCCATCTCCGTCCTCAGACTGCCACCCCCGCTCTCCAGGGGGCCGGGTCCCACCTCCACCGCCAGCAACACCAAAGAACCGGCTCATCAGTCCTGTCCCCAGTGACTCAGCGGCTTCCCTCCCACCCTCCAGAACCAAAGCCACCCCTTCCCCACCTTGGAGACAGTCCCACACTCCCCTCCCTCTCCACCCCTCCTTCTCGCTGTACCTTCTCGAAGGCATCTACCTCATCCATTCCCTGGCTATTTAGGTTAAGGTCTGCCTCATTCA